GAAAAAAAAAAAAAAAAAAAAAAAAAAAAAAAAAAAAAACAAGAATAAATTAATTTAATCGTTGTTGAAACTATGCATACTGAAAGATTACAAATACTTCTCAGGACATTCAACAAATATACATAATATATATGTACGAGTAAAATTAATTAATTTAATTAATGAGAAGAGTATGAAAGAAGATCTGTAGTAAAAGCCGAGTGTCCATGGTATGTTTAGTCGAGGGGGTGGTCTTCAGCAGAGAGTGACACAGGCTGCGACTCAGGCCGCTGCTAATGCCGCTGTGAACGAGCTGATGGACGCGTTCAGGATCAAGTAAATAAATACTGTGTTGTAGCTTTCTTATATAGAATACTTATCCTTATTTACAACGTTCCCCCCACTTCCCGTTCGCGGTTATACATATACATATATATATATATTAATTAATCTGTATTATTAATATACTGCGCATTATTAGATGATAAATTAATCGTTTTTTGATCAATCGATAATGAGATACAGGAAGGCATTCATTACCACGTATTTTGTTTGCTTTTATTGATAAGAAATGAGAATGCACTCTTATAACACGCACTTCAACACACACACACACACATACACACATATGCGCGGTATAATAAAATGGAACTATATTTTCAAATTAAACGAAAATAATTGGTATGCCTTTTTCAATTTTATTGTTATACGCGTACGCGTGTGTGTCCATATATTTATCATTTATTATCACGCATACATACAAATGTAGAGAAATAATAATTGTATAAAATAACGCGCGATGTTCGCGTATATTTGTAAGGCATTAAGTATATGAGGCATTTTATTTGTAACCACTAAATTAACTCTCAAAATACTTTTAAATATTTTTAAGTCTATGAAAGAAGTTTGGTATCATTATTCACTCATTATATTAAATGCTAATAATTATATACTTTAACAAATTTTAACTATAGGTCGATAATAACATTTATCGCACGATTATGTACGTTTCCAAATTGCTGCTGCGCTTGCCTGAAGCATGTAATTGAAAACAAAATGAAATTAAAACAGCAAAATTAACGCAAAACAAATCTAATCCAAAGAAATGCAAAAATAAAAAAAAAAA